CCCCAAAACCCCAAAACCCCAAAACCCCAAAACCCCAAAACCCCAAAACCCCAAAACCCCTTACATGGAGACTTTTATTGCACTTGGAAAATTATAATTTAATGGCAGAAATAGCCTGTAAGAATAAGTCAGCTAGAAGTCAAGCAGGTTGGAAACATAACTATGGGCTATCTCTTTCCTCACTATGGTATCTATAGAAGATGGTTATGACATTTCTGAGATATAAGGCTTACCACTATCCCTCTTTTCTTTAAAATCACCGTATTTATGAAGAGTCTCAATTGATTCAATGCTGCAATTTACTGGCTGTTTGGTGTTCTGGCTTTTACAATCCTGGTCAGCATGTTCTAAAAATAACAGCTTTGAAATACCTCCTGCAGGGAGTTTACTTGATTCCTTTTGTGGAGTTTCACTTAGTTTTACATTAGACATAAGTCAAGTGACATAATCTTTAGCAACTTCGATATTTCCTTCAGAAATGGTAACAGTAGATAACCGTTCATTTGCGATATATTTCGGAGTGGTCTCATGATCAAGCACTCCAGGGGGATTTGATTTGTCTAAGCCACCTACATTATTTTTAAATTGATAGTACCTCCCTGAGTGGCATTAATATGATGATTTATTTTATCTAAGGTCATTATAGCAGCACCTACATTTTTCTTTTTCTTCTTCAGCTTTATAAAAATGCTCTTGAGTGTTCTCCATTCTTTCTGACACTTCATTATCAATCTGGGATGCTCTTCTGCCAATATTATTGCCATCGCTCTCAGTCTCTGATGGCATCTGGAAGCCTTTGATCTTCTCAGTCATGAAGGAAGACCCTGGGTTATTACCGCTTGTGCCTAAATTATAATTATTTTGGGATACTTTTGATACCAGTTATTTCTTTGGTCTCCAAAGAGTTCAGATCTCCTACAGGAAATTATAATTTTATGATACCTCCATCGGATTGTTGATACTTGAAAGGAACATTCTTGGATTTCTCAGCCTGCTTGGTCTTACTGAACATGTCAGAGACATAGTCTTGAGCCTCAAGCATGGCCCCTTCTGAGAGCCCCAAGCTGCTATCGGTTCCTATTGGTTGCTTTATCCTGGAGATATTCTCCAAAGGATCTGCTTTGAGCACTGGTACTGGGTTATCTTTAATAATATTTTCCAGCACTGGCTTTATCTTCTCAAGAGGATCATTCTTGGGAAGTCCAATATTGGTTGGGGCTTTAGGCTTATTCTCTATTGGAGGTAGCTTCCTCGGATCCAAAGGAGGCAACTTTATCTTCGAACTCGGAGGGAACATATTATCATCAAATGGGAGAATCCTATCCTTAGTCTTATTACTTTGACCCAGAACTGGAGCTACAGAAGGGATTTCCTTTTTCTTGACTGGTTTTACCATTTCAGGGATGGAACTTTTCTCAGGAGTCATCTGTACCTGCTCAGTTCCTAAATCTTCGTTAATATCTTCATTTTTAGGTTTCTTATCCCCCTTCTCGACTTGCTGGGAGATGATCTTGTTAGAGGTTGGGTTATTATGTGTTGTTTTATTATCATGAGTTTCTACTAGGTTATGCTATACCAAAATTAGCAGGTGAAACAATCCAGTGCATGATGAATCAAGGGAAACTACCTTAACTTCTTCCGCTTGAGCGAGGTTATACATTATGGTCTCATCTGCTTTGGAATCGTTGCATGTATTTTCCTTCTTCCTGGATTTTGATTGGGACGTAGATACTTTCCTGTCTTCTGAATGCAAAATAAAAATTTTAATCGAATGATCAGAGTGAAGTTGGGGGAGAAATGAGGCAGACCTTACCTTTCACCTTCTCAGATTCTTTAGGATTAGTTGAGCCTATAAAACCACAAGGAGATAGTAAGAAATTTGCATTTCTCGCCTAAGAAAAAAATTATTCAAAATTTTAATTCAAAACAGCCTACTAATAAATTCCCCTCACTTCCAAAATCCAGCATCTAAACCCCCTCCAAACGCTCCTATAACACCTCTTTGGTCTCCTGCCGGCCCTCCCTCTACTTAAATCCCTTCTAAAAGTTTCTTGGTTCTACAAAAACTGCTAAAACTCACTTGTCAACCACTCAAAACTTAATTTTAGGTACAAAATTACTCCTAGCCAGTTGAAATTTCCAGCTTTGTTTCTACTCATAGTTTTGGTTTTAGTTAAATGTGCATTTACCTTGTTCTTTATCTTTAGTTTTGGTCGATCTTGAGTTTCCTCAGCCCATATTGGATTGGTTATATATAAATGTATTGCTAAAATCAATATTAATTTTGATAATTGGGGTTTTGGGGTTTTGGGGTTTTGGGGTTTTGGGGTTTTGGTGCTTTGGGG